GGGGGGGGGGCACATGGGGAATACATGGAGCTGGCAAGGCAAAGGTTCCCATACACAGAGAGGAATGTGTGTCTCAGATGCCTCCAATGTCTGATCGCCTGGAGATGTATCCAGACAGCAACATCTGGGCAATATAGAGGAACAAGGAATGTGTACAGAGTCCAGGGATGTGTGTCCGGAGCTATTCATATCCTGCACTTGCAGTGATGGTTTTGGTGTAAAAATGTAAATCATTGATTTGTCTTTTAGGGTATTTCTGTAAGACCAGCAGAGGACAACTTCCTGAGCTGGATAGCCAAGGTCCGAGGGCTGAAAGACTCCCTCTGGGAAGGTTTGTATATTTTATTAGTGTATTAAGAGAGACATTAATCTACTCATCTTCCCATCTATCTATCTATCTATCTATCTATCTATCTATCTATCTATCTATTCAATCATATGTATTTCTTTCCTTAATGTAACATACCTTATTGTGTGAAATACTACAATTAAACATGTATGTGCTATGAAACTGCTACATTCTGGGCCTGCTCTGCAAGGACTAGAGTTCTAGAATACAGAAGAATCCTCTTCATGGTGTAATGAATATTCGGTGAAGTCTGGAGATTCAGTACTGAGGAGATTCAGCAGCTGCTAGGATTCTGTTAGCAGATATTTCTGTGGAGGAAAAGCAGCTCCCGATAACGGCTGTCACACAGAAAACAATCTGACTTTCTCTTTCTGTAAAATAACATCTCTGAACTCCTGAGTGATCGGGGCTCAGCAGACAATCCACATAGCAGAAAATCCGGCCAGTAAACTGACCAGAACAGCAAAATCATCAGACGAAACCCGGCTACAAACTGGCTGATGGGCACTTTACAAAGACATCAAAGTCAAAATGTTTTTAAACTATTTCAAAAGCTGATGAAATCACTTACAATTGACGCTTAAAAGCTGAAAAACTTGAAGTTTAAAAGTTTTAGTTTCCTGCAGAATCAGCTGGTCCCCCGAGCACTGGTCCTGATATCCTGTTTTAGGGTGACTCCTTTCCCTTGCAGTGTCCTATTGAGCCACCCTTGTATGTCCTAGTAAGCTGTGTGTCTCTACAAACACACAGACACAGCAAAACAATCCATCCCTCCCCCCCCCTCTT